TATTCTTTGTATAACCCAAAGTTTAGTTATCAAACAGACATTTATAAAAAAGATAAGCTATCCTGGTGATTACTTGCATGGCTGGAGATGTGCATTAAATGAGCACCAAAATCTAATTTGATTTTGAACAAATGTTAATTAACTACTCAGAGCGCCAAAGTTAAACTATAAACCTAGAATATATATGAAAATCATATATTAGTCTATTTTAGATAAACCACTGCACAAAAATGCATAGAACTGTCAATGCAGAAAAGCTCGCAAATTGCTCATCCAATTAACGATGAAAATAATGAACTACACCTTATAAAATTGTGGCCTCTAGGACAGATTAACGAAGAAAAAGGTTTAGCAATTAAGATCAGGAGAGTTATGGGATAAGCTTAACCATGTACGATAAAAAAACCTACTTAGACTAAAGACTTTACAAGCACTTTATCAGCAGGCCAACCTAAAGATAATACCACAGAAAAAGAGCAAGCCAAATTCCAAAAGCCAGGATTTTGAGAATTAATCAATTATTTGATAAAAATCATCAATCAATTAATGCTGAATTAATTTTGAGTTGGCTTTAGACTTCTCTTCTTAATTCATATCTCAATCCCTCTATCTAGCAGAATATTTTAATATTCTTTTACAGCCACTGTTGCTTCTATAATTTAGAAGACTCAATATTTACAATGTCTAAATCTGACAGGTCATAGCTGCACTTGAACTTGATTGAAAGCATATGTTCGAAATGGAATCATAACGCACTACATAGTATTTACTTTCTGCCAGTTATTTTTAATTTGCGTATTCCATGCTGTCATGTTCAGTTTTGGTTTCAGTTTGGTTTTGATGGACGCTTCGTTTTTATTTCATTATTGTGTTTCCTGCTGGTTTCCTTTGTTCTAGGCTGTGTTCAAAATCGACCCCTATACCCTCATTCACTGTTTCCTACATTACTATAATATAATATAGTTCACTTGAAGGAGTGATTGAAAACGAGTGAGTGAATTCGGACACTGAGTGCGCTGGAAGGGCTGCTGCTTTTGCGTAGTTTTTGCTTGCTGTTTAATAATAATCCGTCATGGAAACTAGTATGTATAAACCTGAATTAAAGAATTTGATAATCAAGTAAAAAGGAATTAATACCTGTAAGAATTTGCGCTGTAGCCACATTGGACCAGCGGTTTGGAAAATGGATGGATGATTCAGCTAGATGGACACAGCCATAGTCACTAGTTTGCTCCTATGGTAACTGTTTATGTTGTACACCTGTTTCTAGTTTAGTTCTTATTATCCTGTGCATATATAAGGCCCTCAGTTTGCTCAGTTCTTTGGCTTGGTGTTTCTTTTTATGGAATATGGAAGATATTTTGAAGAATGTCAGTAACCAAACAGTTAACTGGACCCATTGACTTCCATAGTAGGAAAAATAAAAATACTATGGAAGTCAACGGGTCCAGTTAACGGTTTGGTTACTGACATTCCTCAAAATATCTTCCTTTGTGTTCAGCAGAAGAAAGAAATTCACACAGGTTTGAAACAACTTGAGGGTGAGTATGATGACAGAATTTTCATTTTGAAGTGAATAATCCTTTTAAGTATATAAAACAGTTTTGCATTATGCAATGATCACCTTTAAAAAAAAAAAACATTTCTGATTAAAAGTGTACTAGTGTACTAGTGTAGGAGATAAAAAATTTAAGTTGTTTTCATTTGCCAAGCTATAAATATAAGGTCGATTTGAGTTCACGGCATTGTGGGATACAGTATTTCATGCAATGTTCTGTGATTGTATACTACATATTTTGAACCCAGGTCATCCAGGTACTTGTAAGACCGTGCACAGTATATATAATATATATATATTTTTTTTTACAAATAGTAGTTTGTAAGCCAATTTATACTGTATACTGAAAGGAGCTTTGGTAACACTTTATTTAAAGCCTTTATATATAATAGATTATAAAAGTATTTTTAATACATTCAATTTAAAAAATAACGAATAATGCCTTTAAATGCACCTTATAATGGATTGTATGGTCTCATGAATAATTGCAACCACAGTTATAATGCATTATAATACTTATCTATTCATTGTTCCACCTTTAGAAAGTATAACGCTTTAAAACACATTACAAACGATTTTCAGATCAAACAAGGAATCTGCAAATATTATAATGCATTTTAACTTTGGTTACAATTATTTATGAAAAGATATGCTGCAGTATTACATACATTATGAATATATAATGGATTATACAATAAGGCTTTAAGTTAAAAAAATGTGTTTAAAGGGGTACTTCACAGCTGGCAAATGGGCTTTCAATAAAACTCGGCTGCCCATGCAGTAGAAAGGAGTTTTTTTGTTTTTGTTTTTTTTAATCGGTGCTACCTGACTAGAGAAAACAAAGAAAAAGGCAGTTGTCTTCCTTTTTGCCAAATAGGTAGGAAAACAACACCCATAATGCACTGGGCATGTTGCCGTCCAAGGCGTTTGACCAGAGTGAAATACTGCCTTGCTTTAGTAGGAAATACTACTTAGCAAACTTTTAGTCATAATGGTGTCGACTTTTACGGTGCAAGAATTCAAAGAGTAAACGTTTAGCGGGAGTGAGTTACTTTGGGTTTCCAGTCAAGGATCCAGTGCATTGCAGGCAGTGGGTAAAAGCTACAAAGAATCGTAAATATGGAGAGAACACCAGGACAGAAAATCTGAAAAACCTCTGTGTTTGTAGTCAACATTTCAAAACTGGATGACTATAAATAGTGTTTTAGGTCAAACAGAGTGTAAAAACTGAAATAAACAGGCATTCCATCAGTTCCCACCAAAGCAAGAAAGCTGTCAAAATGTTCTATTTGTACCATAATGCTGTTCAAAGAGTAGACATAGTACGATACAATTTCAGTGATAACCCTACCCTCAGTCGATCTGACTTGAAAAAAATATGGTACAAATTCTATACGTATTTTCAATCGAATCCCTTTTTCAGAAAAACAAGTGTATGAGATTAAAAATCGACATTGGTATCACCTCTGGTTCATTTTCCAAACTAGAAATGGTAGTTCAAATGGAGTGCATTCTATTGTGGAATACAAAACTCCATGCAGTGTGCTCTTTTTGCACATTTTGGGCCCTTACATACTGTGCACTGTATATAAGATGGCAGGTTTTTCCTGCATAGACAATTATGAGGCGGCCGCCTCCGTCAAATTTCGTGCCGATAGTGCTGCACGTATCATAATCCGCGGGTCGAGTAATAAAAACATTCCATTCAATCGAGGGTGGATGACAGCTAAATGAGTGTAATAAAGACACGGAACTCCCATCATGGTACCTGATGTACGGACGGTAACAAAGTTGCGCTGTTGAGTCTCGCGCAGTTATTTATAACATTAATTATAGTTAAGAAACAATATAATAGGCTACACACGACCAGAGTGCTGTTTTCCTGAATGCCATCACGATTGAAACCGAGATATTAATTTCATAACAGTTCAATAAACAAATAGTTAAAATTAAGTTACTTACATTTTTAGACTGTTTTTGTTCTGTTTTAGCAGCGAAAATAGTTCCAAACAACAGAAGCATATCGCGTCTCACAGCAACACTCATCCATGATTCATTACTGAATCATTTAGCGTTTTGAACTAATCGCTTGAGTCAAAGATTCAATTGCCCATTATTAAACCGCCTCATTCTGAATCAATCAGCCGTTTGAACGAATCGTTTACATTAATGACTCAATGACTCGCTCATTAAGACGGCCGCCTGCCGCCTCCTACTGGCGGTTTAGTTTCAAAGTATCATTCTTTTCAACATTCCTTGTATATTCAAAAAATATTCAAAATAATCTCATTGAATACAGTTATAATTTTTCAATGTAAATTATTTAATTTGGTTGGTAACAGCCTAGTGTCTTATTATTTTAATTGAATGTATTGATAAAATGTAAGAATTTTAAAAGAAATTTAGAGCATACATTAAATAAAATTAGGGGGAAAATGCCCTTTATAAAGGTACAAAAAATTATTCCGATAAGAGTGTTTTCAAAAATGAAACATTGACAACAAGTTTAAAGGGAGTAAAGCCTCTGTTTAGGCTATAAAGAAAATGTAATTTTGCCAAAAGAAGAACTTTTAATTTAAATAAATGTTAATTGTGTGATATGTTACCATATTATCATGCTTAATTGAATAATTGTAATGTGATGATCAGATGCAGATATCTAAATCAAAGAATATGGGTGGTTGGCGGGTGGATTATTATTTATTTTTAACAACAGATTCGAGTGACTCAAAGTGCACCAGATTAATGAATTTATCTTTAAAATGTACAAAATTTTCTCCCGGGGGGGGGGGCATGCCCCCGGACCCCCCTAGTGTTACAATTTTACCACCTCCGCCTCATTTTGAGCCAGGAAAAACCCTGGATGCATATCATTTTCTTTTGAAATCGGCGGTAGTATTCTGTCTTCCTGAGCACAGCCCAAATGATTCCCAATCTCTGACAGAAGGAAATGAGTTAAACTGTTGCAAACTGTTACAGTCACCGGTACAGTGAGCATCTTGAAGGCGCCTGTGTGGTTTAGATCCCTCGTACAAGGACAGCAAGAGACGATTCTGATGGTTTTTGTGGATTTTTGAACCACCGGTGAACAGAAGCTGCCTGTTGTGCAGCCGTGTCTGGTTTGATTGAAGCCTGCTAGCACTCGAGATGAAGCTCAGCTAGACAGGACCGCAAGAGTTCTGAAGGTCACTTTCTCACTGTCTGACCTCACCGATCTGTCGGTTTATTGAAAGGCCCTGGCTCGAGCCAACAGGAGCGGGGAACACGCTAGCATTCCAATGAGGACATCTCTCTGGCACTTAAAATATGCAGTGATGAACGCCGCGAATTAAACCGCAGCAAACACAACCGCAGGAGTTTATCTAACACTAATTTGTCCAGATTCTCTTCCGCACCGACGGACGAAAAGAGATGGGAGAGTGAAAATCTCAAGTGCACTCACCTGTGAAAGCCCCAGGTATATGGACACTGTCTCTGAGATGTACAAAAACCTCCCCTCCTTGTTTAGTGCAAATACAAATCCATCCAGGGACTGTGGAGGAAACAGAAAGAGAAGAAACAAGTCAGGCGAGAGTCTCACAAATAGCTTATTTCTCACAGCACAGAGAGAGAAGCCATCAAGCCCAGAATTGCAAACAGAACCGCATCCCGTGTGGAAACGACTGACAGATCATTAAAGAGCAACAATTACAACGTCAATTAACAGCTCCGGATCACAGACGCCTCAACTCTAAGGGATGGTGTGAGAGCAATACATAAATATTAGGCAAAAAAAACTCGTTCATATGAATAAAGGTAGCTTTTGTTTTGACAAATCAGATTTGTTTTTCCGTATTTCCAGATTCGTTTGAGTTGGTGAACTCAATCAGGCAGCGACCTGCGTCTAACAAGGTAGTGGATTGTGTAATATCAAACAGAACTATTATCTCCGATGTGTCCTCGACAATGATTTAAGTGGTGCAAATATGGCTAAAATTTCTCACTAGATATGTTCGTTTTCTGGATAAACCATGTTTAGTGCAATGTCATTTTGAATATACAATATTTTCTTGGATGCCTGATCTGTCTCATGACTGTATGGTTGGATAAGTTACAGAAATCTCTAAATAAATTGATGTTTAGTTTTAGTACTTTTACACATTTTATGTATCCCATTTTAGACATCTTGACTGGTTACCTATAGAAAACACAAGATAATCAATAAAAGAGCTTAATACAAACAGAATTTCTCTAGGCTAAGTGAGAAACATTGTTATAATACTAGGCAAAGTCTTATTATTAAGTCTTTTAAAACTATGTATGGTCGTAGGTCTTTCGAATACTTAGGGGCTCAAGAGTGGAATAAGTTGCCTCTGGCTATTAAGAGTATTTCAAATATGGTTGGTTTTAGTTTGAAAGTCAAAAGTTGGTTATTAGATAGGTTGTTTTAGCGATGAATTTGTATTAGTGTCTTGTGTCTTAAATGTGTCTTAAACATTTAATGTGGCTTAAATGTTTAAGGGGGAAAACAAAATGCTGCATCTCTGTGGCAATTACTGTAAATGTTGTATTCATCCAGCATGTTAACTAAAAATGGAATTCATTTCTCACATTCTGGAGAAAAGATTTTTTTCAATGCACAAGGTAGCAGCGTGAAGAACAGAAAATTTTCACCACACACACAAAACCATATGAAAGCTGAAGTGCTTGATTGTGAACAAAATCACCTCTGTTTGGTCAATGACACACAGCAGCTGCAAAATCACTTTTTATTTAGCATGGTGTAAACTGCTGGCACAGCTAGGCAAGCGGTTCTGTTGTCAGTGCCACCACCGTTAATGCCGTCTGCTTCTGCTTTCTCACTGAAAATAACAACCCACCCTTATTGTAAAAACATGCCTGTGCAAATGATATTATGTTGCCTCTTGCACGTTTCATGGAACTTTCAAAGTGAAAGTTGCTAAAATACTAATAGCGTGTTCAGTTTTACCTTTAACAGATGAATGTGGATCTGGCAACGTTTTAATATGTGGGTTGTTGTACGTTTTGTGGGGGTTCAAAAATTAAAGGGCATATTGCAGGTTAGAGGACCCAACGAGTCAATGTATAGAAAAATAATGTAGGAACTAGATTTTCTTTAAAATATTCTTATAAATACGCTACAGAAGCTTCTGGAGTCGTTTTTGTGAGAAAATTTGACTTCCGCGTCTGAAAATGGGTGTGGCGGGCGTGACGTAACGGGCGGGAGAGCGGTCGATTCAAACAACAGGAAAACAATGGATCGCAATGACATTTCGGACGCTGGGGAAATACTTACTCGTATGACGGACTAAAGCCATACAATTATGAGCCTGCTATGCTGCCAAGAGAGCAGGGAAAGGCCAGGACTGATGTCAGACAGAACGGTCAGAGACACCATGAGTTGTGGTGTGAGGAGAACCAGTGGAGAACAGGACAGGTGTCTTGGTGAGAGACGTGCTTATAGATACACGTTCGCTAACGATATACACTGTGCTCACAATATTGTACAGATTATTACCATCGTATATCAGGCCAGCAGACATTAGTATGTTTAGGGTAGATGTATACTATTAAATGTATAAAAACTATACTTGAGTATATTTCTATTGTAAGTTACTAAAAACATACTCAAGTACATTTTTAAAACATATTTTTCATCTGGGTTATAACATAAACAGAAAATTAAAGATTTGAATATTTAATCAACCTAGTAATTTTGTTTTTCAATTACAAGTTGCCTCTATTTAGGGCATGACTACCTATATCACACTATTTGATGCCATTGGTATACGACGATCAATATTCTTGCTTCGGCATCCCATGTTAAACTCCATCATATCGCCGGGATGATAATCCTCCGATCTGAAGTGAACGCTACACACGATCTGAAGTGAACGCTACATACGATCTGAAGTGAAAGCTACACACGACCGCGTTTCTCGAAGCCGATGCGGAAGAGAAATCCCGTCTCTTCACCTGCACAAACCGCACCAGGCACGAAAGATATACAGCACCGTCCTTTTTCTTGTTATGGAAACCTGTGGACTCGATGTCCTGACAGGCCGGAGTTTTTGCAACCTCCACAAACACAATAATTTACCATGACGATGATAGATTGAAATACAAAAACTACCGAAAACACACTGACTCACGGCCGCTCTCACTGAATGCCAGCCTACTCTGCACTGAGCCGAGGCTGAGGCTCCCTAGCGTGACGTAAAATGACGCGATGTTGAAAAAAAAGCCGTTTTTACGAGCAGTCCAAGAAACGCTCACTTTATCTACTAAATTAGTGCCCTTATGTCCTTTTAAAACATTTTAAATCCTGCATTACCTTTTCATACAAGGTTATATATTAATTTTGATTTTTTTTTTACCTGCAATAGGCTCTTTAAATGTCTGGTGAATGGCGTTAAAAGCGTAATGCTATATTGTGTTTGTCTGTCTGTCTACCTACCTGTCTGTCTGTCTGTCTGTCTGTCTGTCTGTCTGTCTACCTCTCTGCCTGGCTACCTACCTGTCTGTCTGTCTGTCTGTCTACCTGTCTGTCTACCTACCTCTCTGCCTGGCTACCTACCTGTCTGTCTGTCTGTCTGTCTACCTACCTCTCTGCCTGGCTACCTACCTGTCTGTCTGTCTATCTACCTGTCTGTCTGTCTGTCTGTCTACCTACCTGTCTGTCTACCTACCTCTCTGCCTGGCTACCTACCTGTCTGTCTGTCTGTCTGTCTGTCTGTCTACCTACCTGTCTGTCTGTCTGTATACCTACCTGTCTGTCTGTTTGTCTGTCTACCTACCTGTCTGTCTGTCTGTCTGTCTACCTACCTGTCTGTCTACCTACCTCTCTGCCTGGCTACCTACCTGTCTGTCTGCCTACCTGTCTACCTATCTCTTTGCCTGGCTACCTGCCTGTCTGTCTGTTTGTCTATCTACCTGTCTGTCTGTCTGTTTGTCTGTCTACCTACCTCTCTGCCTGGCTACCTACCTGTCTGTCTGTCTGTCTGTATACCTACCTGTCTGTCTGTTTGTCTGTCTACCTACCTGTCTGTCTGTCTGTCTACCTACCTGTCTGTCTACCTACCTCTCTGCCTGGCTACCTACCTGTCTGTCTGCCTACCTGTCTACCTATCTCTTTGCCTGGCTACCTGCCTGTCTGTCTGTTTGTCTATCTACCTGTCTGTCTGTCTGTTTGTCTGTCTACCTACCTCTCTGCCTGGCTACCTACCTGTCTGTCTGGCTACCTGTCTGTCTGTCTGTCTGTCTGTCTACCTATCTCTCTGCCTGTCTATCTACCTGTCTGTCTGTCTACCTATCTGTCTGTCTACCTACCTCTCTACCTGGCTACCTACCTGTCTGTCCGCCTACCTGTCTGTCTGTCTGTCTACCTATCTCTCTGCCTGGCTACCTACCTGTCTGTCTGTCTACCTACCTGTCTGTCTGTTTGTCTGTCTACCTACCTCTCTGCCTGGCTACCTACCTGTCTGTCTTCCTACCTGTCTGTCTGTCTGTCTACCTACCTCTCTGCCTGGCTACCTACCTGTCTGTCTGCCTACCTGTCTGTCTGTCTACCTATCTCTCTGCCTGGCTACCTACCTGTCGGTCTGTCTATCTACCTGTCTGTCTGTCTACCTACCTCTCTGCCTGGCTACCTACCTGTCTCTCTACCTACCTGTCTGTCTGTCTGTCTGTCTGTCTGTCTACCTAGCTACCTGTCTGTCTGTCTGTCTACCTACCTTGCCTATAGGTTGGAAAATGAACAAGGTATTAGTGTTAGGTATTGGCCTCATGATAGCAAATGTCAAAACCAACCACCTGCCAGTTTAATGTAATGTTAACCCAAAAAGCTAAGTGGTTTCTTAAGTTTGATAATAATGTTTATGACATATTTATGACAGGTTGTGTTGTCTTAGTAATGTCAAATTACAAAAAAAAAAAAGAAACTAAATATAATGAGTTGAGATTTCTTCCAGTGTACAGTATGTTATTCTGGTCTGCTAGATATGGCTAATTTTCCTCAGTGGAATTTTTTTTTTGTGCCTGTTTTATCATTACAAACACACATTTAAACCACAATTTTAGATATCAATCACATTTGAGCCATCATTCATGTCTATAGTACAAACAATACAGAATGAAGCCAGCATTTAATTTGCAATACAATGTTTAGTAAGCACTGCTAATTATCACAGACGCCATGACCAATACATAAATATTCTGCAAAACAAAGCCTGATCCATATCAATAAAAGTCACATACATAAGAAAAGAGTGGTCGTGTTGGGTTATTAGGGATTTTGGACTAAGGGAAGCCGATATCACCGCTGGAGGTGCTGCTGTTTGGTCTCCAACAGTCAACAATTAAGGCATTGAGGTCACATGGGTTAATTACATATTGTCCCCCGCTGCCTCAGATAATCCGTAGGGTGATGCACCCCGGGCGAGAAAATGGCAGAAAGGAATGAAGAGGAAAAAAACAAGGTATTTTGCACAATGTCACAGCTGATCTGATCACCTTTTTATGAAAATCAGGTTT